TTAACCTACTACTAAAACTAGCCTACATGAATTTGATTTTTGCCTCATTTGTGACAGTTCGTTTGATGTGAAACTATCATTCTATGCGTTATTATTCTAAGGCTCAAGTGAGTTAATAGTCCATGGCAGGGGGTTTTTATTCTCTTATGTTATAGTCTGATATGTTTTTCAGCACTAATTGGCAACACCAAGGTGATAGCGGCTTTCCGCGCTAGCGCACTTTGCATAAAAAGGATTGGCAGCGAATTTTTTTAACGAAATTGTAACATAGCATTATGAACTTTATGTCAATTGTATTACGTACAAACTAGATACGATGCTGTAGCTGAGGCAATTCCAAAGACTGCGCGAGAATTCTCCGCAAGACGCGCGACCTGTTTTTTGTCTTGTCTCTAGTTTGTATGTTACACAAACAACAAACCAAGGACCCTTTACAGTTTCCATGATCACGCTGACTGTGTGTATGGCGGCGACTTAGGTCCGAAGTTTCATTTCCAATGTGTAACAATTACGAAAATCTAAAAACACAAAGTTAATTATGCTACGATTACTAAAATACGCTTCTATTTATTTTATCTATTTATTTTATTGGTGCCTCGTAGAAGTAGCTCTCTCTTTTGTTAAGATCTTTCGCTCGTGTGTTTTTCACTAGAGCCCAATTTCATTGATATGACAGGAGCGACATCAGAGACTAAATAGTATTTAATTGCAATGATTTCAGAAAGAAGAAGAATCAGATTATGTCCCACCAATAGACATCCTCTGGATCAAGGGCACAGAGGGTGGCAATTACTACTACAGTTTCGGCGGGTGCCACCGCTACGCGGCGTACCAACGTCTGAACAAGCTCACGATTCCTGCCAAGCTTATCAGATCTACTGTTACAGATTTAAAAACGTATTTGGGAAGCAGCACACCGGATTTGAAATAATCTAATGGAGTTGCTACATAATGTATACAGGATGCTAACAAAATAGGTACGGATTCGACACTTTTAGAGTAAATGACTTACCTCGATACCAGAAATCGCAATAAGCAGGTAAATATTTACCTAAGCGATGGTAGTCTAGTGGGAAAACCGATGCGTCTCAATCGAGTCCCTGTGGCAGCATGTGCAGTCGGTACCTGACGCCTTAGCCGACCTTGTGGTTCTGAGAGCCTTCTTAACCATTTTTTTGAATGATATTTGTATTTTTGTAATGTGATTAAAAATGAGATTCACGTAAAGTTTCTTAAAACGTCATTCACTAATGTTACAATAAGGAAGTCGTATCAAATTGAACTTAGGGCTCACAGGTTAGGGTTACGTTTGTTGAACATCTTTCATCTCAATGATCTACTCGGAATCAAAAGGTCGGATTAAGGGGTCAGGCATCTTAGGACGTCGACTATACCTATGACTTTAATTTGTAAGGTACGTACATACGTTTGTGTTAATAGCAATACCTCTAATTAAAGGCGAAAGAAGATATCTTGATGAAACCTGCTCGTCGAAAAAGGTTCACAAGTTCAGGTGTGATGTCCCCAATGGGCCGGCTTGGAAGACAAACCTTCTTTGGAAGCTGTACCTTGCACTAGAACGGGTTGACGATAATGATAATTTACCTAACTTCAAATAAATCAGTGGCTTCTTAAATTTCGGAATTACTAAAAATTATTGTACCTATATCCGTACCTAATTAGTTAGCACCTTATATTATAAAATAATAGGGGAGTGTAGAAGACTAAGTCACAAATATACATATAGTAAGTTTTTGTAATTATTATGAGTCTGATTTTTGAACAAGTTAACTATGATGTTAAGGTGTAATGCGAAAATTTTATGACGTAGACAAGCATTGTTGAAACTATTAATATAGATTCTTGTCATGTTATTAAATGTTTAATATATATATTCTATTTAACATTAGTTGTTGCGCCCGGTGCACAGCAGTGAATCTTGCAAACTATAGACAAAACTGTGTACAGTACAAGATAGTCAACAAGCTGAAGCGAAACGCACGTCCTTTTGGCTCTTATTGCATGGACATAAGTTGTTGTCCTTTGGACTCACTGGTGGAACCAACAGTCCGAAAGGTTTTTTCATCGTCTCAAACTGATTCCGCGTCTAGAAGTATGGTGATTTCCTAAATATCCACCATATTTTAGACGCATTTACTAGTTATATCTAAATAAAAAATTATTTTCGTTTTTAAAATTCGATTTTATTTAAATGTAAGTAATATTAAATTGACAATTTAAAATAATTTTCAAATTAATTTGCAAAAAAATCGAGACTTATAATGTGATTTACTTTTTAGATTATATTTACGCAAATAAAAATGGAGACTGTTTTTTTTATTAAATAAAACAAATTAATTTCTTCAACCGTGTATTTATTTTGTATTCTTTTTTAGCCTACTTAACCGATATGATAGTTTGTATAACTATGTACAACATCAACATAAATAATATCAAAATACTTTATACATTCGCTCCAATGGGCGAGCTACAGACGACTGAAACCCGGTTTTTCAATTGTTCAAATAGTTTGTTACACTAATTCTCATTGTTGATTTTTTTTTTCAAAAAAATTACACTTGAATAATAAATACCGTGACGTAATTCTAATTAATAGACAAAAAATTATATAATTATACATTTTTTCTTTTGTAGGCAAAGGTTCTACCATACATGCTCTTCAAATTATAAATATACAGAAAAGAAGAATCTTTTCAATGCTTTGATAGAAAAGGCGGCTTTTAACCTTGTAATTTTAAGACAAATTTATAATAAAGTTAAAATAAAATACAGACCGAATATATGACATAACCATAGAATGTAAACATACAACATCAATGTAGATTTTATTGTAACGCTGTAGTTACGAGAATTCAGCAACATAATATCGGTTTTTTTCATTCAATAATACAAAATCGCTTTCTCAAACGCTTATTACAGTATCTGATTTCAAGGGCCTTGCGTCAAGTGTGGATGTGGCCCTTATTTTGGGCGCCGATCTTTTTAACTTATATAAGTCGTCCAAATAGAGTCCCTAACTCTCTATCTCGTATGACACCCCCCTAAGGGTCCCTTTAAATCGGGTAATGTAGTCAGCGTTTTACATAGACACATAACACTGTGTCAAAATATTGATACAAGAAAGTGGCAACACAATAAGGCGCCCTGTACATTGTTATAACATGTTCAAAAGGTTTTAGGCCTTACTACATTTTGAAATTGCTAAACTTGTTTAAGTAGGTTTTTTTTAAACTTAACACACATTGATTATTCCATAAAAAACAGTTATTTTTATAGTAATAATATCAATCGTCTGCAGCATATGCATACCAGTCCTCGCATCAAGAAATTTAATGAACACAAAAATAATGCTAGCACCAAACATTTCAACCATGCTAACATATCAAATTACAAACACAATTACCTTACACATATTAAATAATAAAATAAAATAATAAAAATGTGCCGTGTTGCTTAAAAATAATTTTCATACAAAGTTTAATAAAATTTGTGTTTCATCAAATTGAGACAATCGACTTGTATACAAAAGCATCACATTTTTAGGTTTACTATATTCAACTACTCGTATAGTCCCCACATTTGCAAAAGTGTGTAGCCATTACTACAATTAGAATAATAACTACATTTCACTGTTATCATACCATAAAAAAATAATGTGCCAGACAACCGACCACCTGGTCTCAAACTAGGGAGTGCCAGAGTAACGGAATTCACTCCGGGGCAACTACCCAGAATACCCAGAAAAGAACAAATTTAGTAAAAAATTATTTCCCAAATTGGTCCTACCGGGAATCGACATCGTGATCCAATGACCCCTATAATCAGCTAAAAGAAAATGACAAGAACGCAACGTCTGTCAGTTCATCAGTCGAGTAGCAATAGCAAGATGGCGTCAAAAAGGGTACAAACAAAACATTTAATTTGCAAGAAAATATTCCTACGCCACTTAATGCCCTTTTGGGATCGTTGCCAGCAGTGGAGTTAATACAGAGTAGGAAAATGGCGATGTTTATTATCCCAGTATACATATCAAGAGCCTCAATAGTCCGTAATAAATAAAAACTGGACTATACAATTTTAGTGCCGAGAAAAACGTGTGCGGAAAAACTAGTGTTAACACAATAAAAAGTGACAAAAATTACTATGTTAGCAATTAAATTAGTTAAATTGTCTCTTGGATGCTAAATTATTGTAATAAAATACATACTTAAATAAGGTTTACTTTAACAAAATGTAGTTACTTGCCGCACTTGACAACGTAGTATTATCTCAAAATTGTTTTCAGTTATATTAATATTACCTATTTAATTTCAAAGCGACAGTGTGTCCTGTCACTGTGAAATGAAATTGTATACAAATGGCATATATGACGAAATTTTGGAGATAAATTATTAATACAACGCAATTTTGATATAAAATAGAATAAATATAACGCAATTTTTTGTGATAATACTATGTTAGTTGTCAAGTGCGATGTGTAAAAAATGCCTTATCGAGGTTTTCACCTTAAGGCGATGTTATGTGGTATTTGTGTACTGTAATTCCAGTGGCGGATTTGCAATCTTGGCCGCCCTAGGCGACCCCTCAAGGGCCATGTAGTCAGTACCAGCAGGCCTTTACTCAGCACTCATCATATACTGGTGACTACATAATGAATTGCCAACTTTTATCGAAATCGATTCAGAAATGTTTGATTTTGCATGCATGATAGCATGATTTTTTCCGACATCTTCAACATTTATCGTCCTATTTCAGCCAAATTACACAAAACCTAAATAAATTATATAACTAAACCTTTCTCATGAATCACTATCTATTGGTGGAAACCGTAAGAAAATCCGTTGAGTAGTTTTTGAGTTTATCACGATCAGACAGACAGACAGACGCGGTAGTGATGTATGTAGTGATTATACATTACAAAATACAGATATGTAACGTATCTATATTTTATATGTAAAATGGACGAAACCGATTTAGGAAGAATATTGTTATACGATGCGGTGCAGTGCGACCCACCATAATGTGCGTGAACCTAATATTTAGGTACTTTGAGTTATTTCTTGTTATAATCAGTGAATTTTTTGTCACGACTGGCCGCCTCTAAAATCTGGCCGCCCTAGGACAAATCCGCCACTGTGTAATTCTCACAACACTCGACAAACTGAAAATGTATAAACAAGAAGGCAGTAAAGGTACTAAGTTGCAATGTATAGTTATAATAGAATCGTAATTTTCATTGTTAAACTAATTGATTTAAATTCCTATCGTTGTAAATACAACCCTTTATCGACGAAATATTATAAGAAAAATTGCGAGCCGTATGTTAAAACGCAATTCGTAGCCTCGTGCCCAGTTTCGTAAACATGACAAAGTATTGCGTGACTGTTGACTACAGAAAATGACTCCTATATCGATTATACAGTATTTTATTCGTCTCACATAAGGTAACTTATCTCCCGCCCCCAACTTAATACATACAAAAAATATATATCTGCATTCTACAACAACCATAGGTTTTCTTTTTTATATTTTTCACAATATTTTAAAAACACTCAAACCCTGCTGTCACAGGACAAGATACGATTATTCTTATTATATATCTCCATTTATATTTAATTTTAAATAGATATTTATTGTAATTTATATTCTTTAACGGCCAATGCGATTTATAAGATTCTTTACTGTAATTATTTTGGTAATTTTCAAGTTAGTTTTCTCTACCTACTTTCGGTCGCAATTTTTATTATTTGAATATTCTAAAGTATTATTTAATATTCGAATATGATATCCTGAAATATTATTTAACTATTTCACGATATTAATTATTTCAGGATAATATACTCGAATACTTCAATGATAAAAATTGTAAGGGAAACCTACAATTTTTATCATTATCAACTAACCCGAAAATTACCCATGTACAAATTACTCCCGCCCTCTACCTTCCCATAGCAGGTGGCGAGCATCGTGCTGTTGCTTGTTATTCCTGCTACATACCTCCTATTGTACAGTACAAGAGTACATTAGCTTGACACTTTGGAGCGTTCTTACAGCAAGTGATATAGAGTTGAATTTAAATATTCAAGTGTTAAGGTCAAACAAGTGACTAAAAATTCAAGAAATCAAAATTACATTTGCATTTACTCGTCTACAACTACGTTGTTGTGTAACGCTCAGTGACCGAGACAAACAAATGTATTAAGATTTTTTTTTTAATAATACAATAATAACGCACACACTTAGTATAGCCCCGCACTAGGGAAACCCTGTGCCACGGGTGCCATGGACACACATAGACAACCACAAATTACATCCAAACTCACGAGAGACATAAATGTAAGCCATACAAATATTTCTCCCGGCTCGAGGATCGAATCTGGAACCCCTGAGTGGCAGTCCGGCATGGTAACCGTTCGGCCACGGAGGCAGTTTTAAAAATTACAAATTATGTTAGAATGTATTTATTTATTCAATTGTTTACAGTTAATTATTGATGTAAATGCGACTGTTGATTATCTATTCTGTGATATTATATTGTAAATTATGCATAGTTTGAAAGATATATATGTTTATTGAGGTTTATATTTAATTTTATTATATGCCTAGCGATTTTATGATAATGATCGACGACAGATACACATTGAAAAGGTAACTTTTTTTCGGATCTAAATTGCGTTTATTTGTTTTTTCAAACAAACCAGCATTTATATTTCAGATTAAGGTGGTTTTCTTTAATATTAGACACCTGCAAAAAAAACGAAAACCTGTGTTTCGCTTCTCTCCGAAGCATAATCTGTAGGGCTAGCACGACAGGGCGCGACTAACGCGAGAGCGACACAGAGGGCGTGATATCGCTGTACTCTCACAGAGATCTCACATCTTATGTCGCTCTCGCGCAACTCGCGCCTTGTCGTACTAGCCCTACAAGGGTTGTTGTTTGTTTCTACCATAGATAAAGAAAAAAAAGGGGAGATTTGGTATGGGGGCGTGGGTTACAAACATCGCCACAGTGACATAGCTATCGTCGTACATAAAAGATCTCTCGTAAAACGTGAAAATGCCAAGTTGTAGCGATACACCTTGTAAAAATTGGAGTGAAATCAAAGATTTTAAAACCAGAGAGATAATATTCCACCGGCTATTTGCATTTTTAGGTACTATTTCTATCATAATTCAATGTTTTCTTTTTGTCTCCATAGAAATTTCTAAACTCAAATATCATAATAAAAATTGTCACCGAAATTAGATAT